AGCTCTGTATGCATGCTTAATGTTTGTATAGACATGATCCAAGGTGTTCTCCCCTCTAGTGGGACACTTTACATGTTGGTAAAATTCTGGGAGTACAGACTTCAAATTGGCTCTGTTAAAGTCTCCTGCGATGGTAATGTTGTTGAAAGTTGAGTTGAGTGTCCTGGATCATCACCAATGTCCTTTTAGTTAGATCCTCTTAACAGTCTAAAAAAACCTAAATTCTGTCAGGTTAGGTGTCGTGTGAGACAAAGTTACGCCGCTGCTTACGTTTCTGTTGCTCACCTGTCCATCATTATGTAAAGCCCGCCCTGACAATACGATTAGTCCGGTCAGATCTTATTTGGACATGGTTCCACCTCATCGGAGCAGTACCAGACCGAACTTCCCGCTGGAAAATGATGTAGGCGGGGCTAAAGTTCGGCTGCACCCAGGCTGTGTCACAACCATTGAATACAACAAAGAGAAACTTACATTATTTGATTTGTTTTGGCATAGAGCAGGGAGGTCAAAGTCAAATACATCAGATGGCCAAAAAATCCATTTTGTTACAAGCCGAGGGCCGGATTGGTTCAATGTTTACAAAACCATATAAAAATGATTGCATATAACCTATTGATATACAGTAAGTCCTTATACCGTGTTTTAATGATTTAATGAATAACTCAGTATTTTTGTATGGCTCTGTCAGTAATTTCAAGTGAGAACATTTTTCAACAGACTCACAGAAAACACATGTCCTGAACAATAAGTGAATAATCCAATATTATTATATGACTTGGACCGTACGCGCGCTCTGATTGGCTGATTACCGGTCTGATATTTTCCCATCTCGGACCGTTACCATATAATAAAACATTTATTAACCTCGCTTGCTCGGTCTGTGCAGAGAAATATCAGACCTTGGCCTTTTTGCACAGACCTCGCCCCGGCTTGGTCTGTACATTAAGGCCGCGGTCTGATATTTCTCCATACAGACCTCGCGCTCGGGTAATAAGCCGTTATAATCTTATGGCTCTGTGCGGGCCAGTTCCAATACTAATCAAATATCATCACAGGGGCCAAGATAATTCGTTCACGGGCCGGATTTGAGACACGGCATAGAGGCTTCAATCTGCCTCCCCCTGATATTGCAAGTGTGTGAATTAAATAACCTCTGTATTCACCTGTGTGTGTGCGTTTGGTGGTTATAGTGTGTTGTTTGTGTTAATAAAGAGCAGTGTGTGTGAACAGAACCGAAACAAGAGTGAGGTAAAGCAGAGTGAATCTCGGACTCGGAAGCACAGTAACACGTGTGAAAGCGGTCTTTGTTTGACTTTTTTAGGCTCGTATTGTTCTCTGTTTAATTGCGACGAGTTATCCTGCCTTCTGCAAATGGCCAATTGATGAGGAACTCCTTCTGCTTCCTCCTGCTGCTCTTGTCTCGGGTCTGGCGCTCATCTCTGGCCCGTTCCGCCCCTTCCCTTTCCTGCACCAGCTGCCTGCACTTCTCCCCCGGACCCTCACCCACCCCTCTGCTGAAAAAGAGGCAGTGTTTTGGCTGTAATTCAAGCAATCTTTGACTGAGAACAAAAAAATCTTCTATCCATGTCAGTCTGAAAAGAGACAAGGGAAGTTCATTTGTAAAGCACAGGTCATACACAAAGCAACTCAAAGTGCTTCCCTAAACAATAGAAAAGGAAACTCATAAAACAAAAATAATCACAGTTTATTATATGACTTGGATCGTACGCGCGCTCTGATTGGCTGATTTGTAGCCTGATATTTTCCCATCTCGGACTGTTACCATGACAATTGATTTTATATCTTTCCTCGGTAAAAAATAAATCATGAGCGACGACTGGGAGCATTCTGGGAAGTAATAACAGCAAACAACGACAAAAACACAACTACTAACAGTCAAGAAGAGATTGACAACTTCGTTTCAGACCAGAAGGCTAAAAACACGATTAGGAAAACCAAGTCGGACATGAACATACTTCACAAATATCTAAAAAGCATCAGTAAAGACACAGAAGAGATTGAGAGCTTACCAGCGGGCGACCTCAATCATCTGATAAGCAAGTTCTCCATGTCACAATTTGACAGTTTGGTTGCATGTGTTTTTGTTTGTTAAAACCGATCAATATTTGCATAAATTGAAAATAGTCATATAATAAAACTTTTATTAACCTCGCTTGCTCGGTCTGTACAGAGAAATATCAGACCTTGGTCTTTTTGCACAGACCGCACCACGGCTCGGTCTGTACCAAAAGGCCGCGATCTGATATTTCTCTGTACAGACCTTGCGCTTGTTTAATAAGCCGTTAGTATTAAAACAAGTTGAGGCATGACTTTGAATATTGTCAGAGTAGTGGCTTTGACAATGCAGCTTATACTCTGAGACCAATAGGAGCAAAATCCCTGTGCTCCTCAGAGTCCCAGCAGGAGGCCAGTCCCGTTAGAACAGATGTACAGGTAAAACTTTCATAGTTTTACAGTTTGGACGGACCAGTAATCTTCTGGAGACAAAGGCATGGACAAGAATCTCATTGGCTGAATCTGACTGAGACCATCTAAAAAGCATTGGCGCAGTCTTGTGTTCAGAACTTCTCTTGGTAGCTCCTTCACAGTTTCTCAATCATGCATTTAAGAGTTTTCTATGTGCCTCACTGTGTCTTGCCTCGCTATTTTTATTATTTTTGTCTGTGTGTGCTTTGTGGTGTTGGTGTCCCCGGTGTCTCCTGTTTGTTCCAATGTTGTTTTTTCTGCAAAGGGCAATACATTGATTCTGATTCTGAGAAAAATACTGTACTTTATACTTTCACTGTGTTCTGCTTTGTCAGTGAAACCTAGGAAAAGTGCGTTAAAATACCACATGAGTATTTTGGAAAGTTCTTGTCCATCTTTCACTGGTCCCTGGTTACTACAGGCTTGTTGCGCTTCTTATTACTGATAAAAATGTACTTGTTCCATAGTCATCTGAGAGCACCGACCACAGAGAGTTTGAAGTTTCAGTGTCACCGACAAAAGCTGTTTGATTCTTATACAGAACAAGATTTAAATAAAAAAAGTGAACCGAAATGGTGTTAAAGGACAGCCCTCATCCTGTCTTGGTTAAGTAAATCTCTGCGATAAGTCACGTGTCATTTTATGGTGAAATTGACGTGGGATTTTAGGCACAAACCTTTCCAGCCCTGACAGAAATCGAATCATCAGCGCTATTTTCCACCTTTTTAAACAAATTTTGCATCTCAAAATTAGTCAAGAGTGCTGCTGCAGTCAATTTACTTTCATTAAACTTCACGGCGTGCTTCTGTTAAAAGCAACTGTGTCACTTGGAGGACAAATACAAGTCTGGTTTATAAGTCCAGTCACTGTAAGCCACTGAGTTTTGTGGAAGTTTTTTTTCTTCTTTCTTTTATCAGTGTATTAAAACATCAAAAATCAGAAGGCCCTGATGATTTAGTCTATTCTTGTCCCAATAAATTATATAAAATTACAACATGTGTCTCTCCAGTCCACCCCCTCCCAGGCCGGCCCTCAGCCCACAGCCCACAGCCCTCAGCCCACAGCCCACGGCCCTCAGCCCGCCCTCGCTCTCCGGTCAGCCTGGAGAGGGTCTCACTAGTGCCCTTTGGAGAGGAGCCTATGATGGAGCCTGCTGGTCTTTGGAGCAGGGGACAGGTGCTGAGGCAGCTGCTGCTCCCCCTCTGCTCCTCATACATTATGTTTTCCACCACACTTCTGTGCTGTTTCTAAGCTATGTGCCCGGATCATAATGTACAATACCAAACATGTCCTTATTGATTATTTCAAATGACTTGAATTAATTAATTTACTTCAGTGTTAAGTGTAATTCTTTTCAACAACAGATGTTTTTGATTAATGCCCTGCCCCTTCTGTCCAAATGCTTCTTTGTCAAACTTGCTACGAATCCGAATGACGTCATGAACAGAGTATTTCTTCAGGTCAAATTACGCTCTTAGCATGCCAATTATAGCGCCCCATGTTTCAAAATATTATGTCATTTCCTATTTCTACAACTAGATATTTTAGCATTTGGATCCTTTTCTCTTTCATACATTTTCATCATAAATAACCTCTTACATTAATAATCTCTTACTGTTTAAGGGTCAAAACTAAGGTAACCAAAGAGAAGTTTATGTTTTTGGTCTCGTCTCAGTATTGAAGTTTCTGGATATCAGGCGCATGCAGGAGTCCCTAAGCAGTCCCCATACCCACTCTTTGGAAACAGTGTATGCTTGGTATTTGTATGATTGATATAACAACACATTTTGGGACTCATTGAGCATCATACTGCAGAATTGATATTTAAGAGCAGTTTGATTTATGACAAATGGTGTAAAAGTTTTGGCGAGTTAATTGGTTATTATTTTGGGGTAACAATTATAAACTGCAAATCTTTGTGGTTCTATGGAAAGACAGTTAAATAGTTAGCATCGTTAGTTAACATAACAAAGGGCTGATTGACCTGGCAGGTTGCTCTGACAGACCACGCTCCCCTTCACCCGGTGGTCTGTGGAGGAGGGTGTCCCATGTGTGCGACAGGAGGAAGGCCCCCTCATCTCGGTTGATGTTGTTGTTGCCCCGCTTTCTGGTTTCAGTCGCTTCTTTGTTTCAGTATTTGTTTTGTTTTACTCCCCAGCCCGAGAGAGTCTCCCCCATTGGGACATAATTTTCATATGTTGGATGTTTGAACTGTTGTTCAACTGTTTGAATGTGCCTGAAATAAAGAGAGATATATTGAATATTAGTTTTAAGAGCAAAAAATGTCACCAGATGAATTTCAAAGTATATTTGAAATTCACTTCTGATGGAACATATTTTTCTTCTCATGGAAATCCTATTTTTGCATGTTCTTCCTTCCTTTACCACCATCTAGTGGTCAAACCAGGTCCAACTCTGGTTCCTGACGTGATGAGAATTAAGATATAAAGAAATGGATCAAACGGCCTTGAGTACCTCTTATTTATCGTGCATGTTTCTTGTTTGTGCAGGAGGAGGCCATCCCGGAGCTGGAGATAGACGTGGATGAATTGCTGGACATGCCGAGTGATGTGGAGAGAGCAGCCAGAGTCAAGGTAGTGGCTGTGTGTGGAAGTGTGGAAGGATGGCCGCAGCAACAGAACCAGGGCTAACAATGTGTCACTGTGTTGCAGGATTTGCTTGTTGATTGTTTTAAACCCACTGAGGTAAGTGGCCTAAAGCTTGTTGCAGATGAATACATAAAGACCTTACGATCAGACTGATAAATATTGTGAAAAGCTGCACTACACAACTTTACTGGTGGAGGGTCTACTTTTGGCTTATATCTTAAATGTAGATTTTCCTTGGACGTTCCTCTGTTTGGCTTCAAGATGGGGCACCTAGCTTTCAAACCATAAAAGGAGAACTAGAAAATATGACTAGTTTCTGCCCTTTAGGTTCAAAGTAAAATTTCACTCAATTTCTTTCGCTGTGTGGGTCATGACCATGTCTTCAGTCGGATGAGGAAGAGTATGACTGCAGCTCAGATCTCCATGAAGTAGGAATGTACGGTATTTATTATGGACCCCCATTCTTCCTGGGTTCCACTATGTCTGTTGGTCAGAAGCAGGACAGGGCCTGGTTAGTGCTGTGATGGGAGACCGCTGGGGACACTAGGTAACCCTGTAAAGTGCTGAACGTTTGTTGTGTCCTTTGGAAAAATATTTTAAATCTGTTATGTAGTTCCATCAAGAACCATTATTTAAAACCATATTCAAGTTCTGTTTTTATTGTGTTTTACTCACATCATTAATGAAACTGTTTCACTTCTCTGACAGGACTTTATTTCAGCTTTGTTGGATAAAATCCGAGGGATGCAGAAGCTGTCTACGCCTCAGAAGAAATGATGTTTGTGTGTTCTCCCGGTGCTGCACCCTGGACTCTGGACTCTGGACCTCCTGGACTCTGGACCTCCTGGACCTTTGCTGTCCCATCCTTTCTCACACGTTCACGTCTCCTCTCTGCCGCTGACAGTTCCAAACTCCCAGGCTGTGTTCATGTGCTCACCTCTGTTTGAATAGTGTGTACACAAATGTGGCTGTCTTTTTACTTATACTTATTAGTCCTGTTTTTAAGCTGGGTAACCTAACTTATTTCCATAAATAGTGGTGGAGAGTGTGTCTTCTGAGCTGAAGGTTGGTGGTTCAAATCCTGCTCGTAACATATTCACATTGGTTGAGTGATATCATATTGGCCTCAGCTCCCACTGGTAAATGCTGCTGTGTGTCCATGGGCAAGACACTTAAAGAGCGACTAAACACCAAATCAACTTTTTTTAACTCATAAACTGGATAAATATGTTTATTGTAGTGCTGTCTACATATCCTGGTCATTTTTTTGACATTTTAGTTCAAATTAGATAAAATATCACTTATGAGCCAAAAAACGTCTGTGTGGCGCCCTCTCAACCTTTTTGGTGGTACTACATTTGAATTTGGTCCTGGCCTCTCCATTGACTCTGAAGTTCTCTATGCCATCAGTTGTTCTGTGTGACGTCAGTCTGTCTGAGCCAGTGATATGAACCCATTCAACTCTCACAAACGCCCCAGCTGCAGTTTGGAGTATTCTGGCGCCATCTAGTGGATTAAAATTAAATTACATGAGTCATTCTGAGATTATTGAGTGTGATTAGGTTCAGGTGTGTAGCTTTACAATTATCTTGGTGTGTAAACAAGGGTGGAATGAGACTTTCTGGTCTGTAAACTATTGCTTTAAGCAGCAATGACTACTGTCTGGTTTTTTTTGTGTGACAAGTGAGCTGTCAATCACAGCCCAGACCACGCCCGACTCTAAGCCCCCCTTCTTGTCCCTTGGTCCTCCAGGCAACGCCCTTTTTAGAGAAAATTTTCAAATCTTCATGTGGGCGGAGTTAGGCTGGGCACAGGTGTTTAGTCGCTCTTTAACCTACCTAGTCCCCAGTGTCTGTGTACACTAGAGTGTGAAAAGGTGTGCAAATGTAGAACACAATATAAATGTGGACATTTAATGCATGTTGTGCACCAGAAAGAATCTTATAAAAGTAAAAGGTTGCGACAAAATCAAACCACAACTCACATTCTCTAATAGAAGACAACCTTGTATACTTTTAGTCACTATTTGACAAATTGGTTTGAGAACTATTTAGCTGAGTGTGGGTGCTCCTCTTTTGGGTGTAATTGTATAGTTCAATTGTTTGTGGTTTGAAAGTTAGGTATCCCAGCGTTAAGTACAACATTCCTTGTTATTGTGGCAGGTATTTGAAATCAACTCTCAATATTAAGAGATAATCAAAATTACTTTTTCACAATAGCTTCACAAAGCTAAAGAGGGGTTTGCTCTCGCGGTTTGGCATTTCTGTGAAAAATCATGCATCTCCCCAGTGAATCTGATCTGAAATCACACAATCTTTGGAATCATGGACCTCCTTGAGTCTGATCACATGGGTTTGAAAATCCACCCTAAAAAAACTAGATCTGTGCTTTTAGGGTGGACAGCTTCGTTCTGGTTGTTGGTACTTTTTCCTCAATATAATCAACTTTTTTGCTGCAGTTAGAATAGAAGTAGTTTTTGTAGAACGTGTGAACAAAGTGAACAATTTCTTATCAGGGCTTGGCATTAATTAATGTTTCTACAGACTGGCCTCAAATGCAGTAATAGTCTTAAAGATCCAGTCATCTTCAGTTATCACTTTTGCTCTGCCTGAAATGTGCCACAGTATCCCTGGTATTTATTTTGTTTGTCATCTTATACAGTGAGCAGGCCCACTGGTTAAAGACTCACTGTGGAATATTGTTGTCATTACAACAAAACTGGTCAAAGCAGATCCCATTTAAAAGGTCCTTATGTCACACATGATGGTTATGAGTGCATTTGTTTTGGCTTTTGAATTTTACCTGAAGAACCTTTGCGTTGACATGTTATTGTGTCAGTCTGAACACCATAAATGCGGCAAGAAAATACTTTTCCCTATGAAAGGAGCCGGTAGGATGAATGCAGTCGGGACATTAGGAGAAGAACGTGTAGTAAAAGTTTGCAGTGTATTGACCTCATGTTCAGTCTTTTCACATTAGAGCAGATCTTGATTCATTAGCATCATTACACTCATGCTACTGTTTCTGTTGTGTTTTAAAACATAATATTATACAGAAATGATTAGACACAGTGACAATTCAGCCAGAGGAGGGCGCTATTAACGACTAGGAGCTGCTATCCTTACGATCAACAAGGACTTGGAAGGAAGTATTTTTAGCCATTTTCAGTCAGACTGTTAGTAAAGTACTGTGAATATTCTCATGGTCATGTTTTGTGCGTGTGGTCATGTATATCACTTATACATCATGTAATGCACTCCAGAATGACATAACTTAAAACACAAATGGTGTAAGGAAACACATCTTCTTACGCTAAAACTTTTGGAAATGTAATCTGCCAAAGTAGAGATTGTTTCAAATAGAAGCAAAACAAATATTAGAGCTGATGCCAAGCCCTGTGTCTTCTTCTCTGTAGTGTCTGTCACTGTCTACACATGATTGAGCCTGATATCCTCGTCTCAAGCTGCTGTGAGGGTTAGGGTTAGATCATCTTCATAGTGGGAGTGGCTTGTAGTCACGGTTCAGTTTATATGATTGAAATAGAGTGTAGAATGTCCCATAGACTGTGTCTGGGGTGGACAGTAATACAGGACTCAAACTGAAGAGCATTGGCTTCATTCACTTTCAATAAACAGAGAACTCCTCTTACTCTGTGCTTGTATCACACTCGCTCTGCTGATTCTGCTGCTTTATTTTGACATATTTTTATATATGACCCTCAATAAATGACCAATCCAGTGGCTTGTGAATAGCATGAGCATGAAGAGAACAACCCCACTCATGATGAAAATTGTCCGGCTTCTTCCAGGAAAATCCACGTCAGCACTGTCCAGTCCTTTCTGCAGTCTGTGAGTGACTTCAGTGCCAAGTGCATTCAAACCCTAAGTAGAAGGGTGCCTTTACTTTGGAACGGACACTGTTTTACTACAGTGTTCACTACCTTCTCCTCTGCATTGCCTTTGCCCAGAATGTTCCGTGGTGGTGGTGTAAAAACATGTATTTCTGTGTGACTGGTATCATCAGACTAAAGAGAGCGTGGGTTCTGTTGCCGTAGCAATTGTGGCTACAATCCTTCATGTTCAAAAGAGTAGAATTCGCAGAAGACCATGAGAAAACATTCTCATCCAACTCTTTCAATTAAATGAGTCAAAGAAATTTGATAGGGCTTGTCATATACTATAATACTGATATATGACATATTTTATGTCAAATGATATTTATTATAAAAGGTGAATGCCGTAGTCTGGAACATTCTTGGCAAAGCTTCAGTTACAGCTACAGTGATTCAGCCACTGTCCATTTGACACCCCATACGTTTATATCCACGCCCAAATGCATCATGTAACCATGATGCATTGCATAATACAACGTTTTTTATTGATACATTTTTCAATTAACCAAAAACAGTTTTTCCTCATCCCTGATGTGACGGAGGGGAGATTAGATTAAACCTAGATTAGACCTGGCCTGTGTAGACAACAAAAGCATGTTTGCTTCTTCTCCTTCAAAATACTGACTCATAGATCAATCAAGTGTTTGTGTTACTGAACCAAGTTTTCAAAATCCTTAGTTACATCTTTTTTATTAGGCCCCTGTTTCATCTTCCTTTTTGGTCATATATTTAAACTACGCATGGTGGATGAGCACTGGTATCTGATCATGGATTAAGATTGTTGCTAAATTTAAGATTTTAGATCAAGAACTTGCTGATTATTCCCCTGGTGTAAATAATTTCATTATTACAAGCTCAGAACACTAACTTCAGGGCCAACAATTATGCAAATAATTATCCAAAAGGAAAGGCAGATAATTATACAGTTGTGCTCATAAGTGGCATGATCTGAATGCCCTCGTATGTTTCAGAGGATAAAAAGATCATGAAAGGTTTGGAGGTAGAAGTATCACAGCTGGAACACAATTGTAAAGAACATCATTTTTCTGGAGAGTTATTTTAAACAGAAAAAGGCTTTGTTCATGTCGTTGTTAAAGGATCTGTCTCAGTCTGTCTCAGTGTAACGAGTTTGAAAAGGAAACAAGCAAACGCAGAAGGGCCAGAGGGACATGTTTGTCAGAAACATGGGTCTCAGGACTGTTTTTGAAGTGGAAAAAAAATGATGCCTCATCATCCAACCAGATGAAGCTCAGCTGCAGAGATCTTGTCAGACTTCTGAAGTTAAGCAGGCTATGGTCTGGTTATTAGTGTGATGGGAGACCTCTGGGAATGCCTTGTGCCACAGTGAGGCAGCTGTGAAGTGTCAAACTGTCATGTTCTCAGGCAAGACCCACAATGAAAAGAATGGGACGGGTAAATGGTTGGTGGTAATCGAAGGGACTGATGGCAGGGTCTGGTTGCCTCGCTTCTGTTAGTCTGCCTGAGGGCAGCTGTGGCTAAATAAAATCAATGCATTATTGATTTATTATTAATCTTGAGAGGAAAAAGAATTGACAGAAAGATAACTTCTTCTTGGGCTTGTATACTTATGGGCACAACTGTACTTATAAACTGAAACCAAGATAATGGAAGTTATTTGCCTGACAGATCCTGTTAGTTTCTGTGATTAACTGACTTGTAGACTGACTGCAGCCAGTATACAACTCCTAAAGCTAATACTCTCACACCTTACAACTAGAGTTATAGGGGAGATTTGTCCGCTCTTCTGGAATAACGGAGCTATTCAGTTTGATACAAGGTTAGTTTATCAGAATTTTACTGGGTCAAGCTTCACTAAGGCGAATACCGAAAACAGAAACAAAATATCAACCAATGATATCCATCGCAAAGTTCAACATCGGCTTGTATGTATGCATTGGCCTAATCATATTTTCTTATTTCCTTATAATCTTTGCTCTCTTATTTCCTCTCTTCCCATTTAAACAAACAAATGTTGCCTTAGATATTATTTATACGACACAGACCAAAAACATGAGACAAAAACGCATTATGAATACTGCCACTTGTTACAGAATATGTTTTTTTTTATTTGTAATGAGATTTATTTTGTTAGGCCTCGTCACTGATTGTTCTGTAGAAAAAAAAAAATCACTTTTTTGTATTTGTCACTTGTGTAATCAGTTGTTGAGGTCAGACATGCAGGATGCTTCATTGTGACGCAGAGGTGAGTGGTATGGACAAACATCAATATGTGCCTGTGAATGTGAACGTATCCACGGACATGACTTTATACCCAATTTTGTTACTGTTTTCTAGAGACGATGCCCATGTTTTGTAAATCCTCAAAACATATTATTTCTAGATGATTTAGATACGTCATAATATATCATAAATACCACTTAAACATGACATTGTGTTAGAACTACATGCATTAGAGTGGATGTCTATCTGTCATTCCCAACCCAGCATTGGACTTCTACTGCTGAGACTGTTATCAGAAGTCTGTTTTGTACTCTGGGGCTGGGTTCTTTTTAAACGTAGGCCACTGTTGATTGTACATGAAGCTACGCGAGCTAAACTCAGTATTAGCCAAATGACAATGTTTTGACGACGTTTCCGATCCAACCAACGATGTAGCAATATCAACAACAGGTCTTTGCCCAATTTTGTTACACTTTTATGCAACTTTAATAAAAATGTGTGAATTTTACGTTTTGTGTGTGTTGTTGTAGTTTTCCCACAGATCCAGGCATATTATTTTAAGTATAAGCAATATATTTATTATCAGGGCGCCAGAGCATGCTGGAGTTATTATACAAGTTTTTAGCTATAATTGAAACTGGAGCACCCAGAGGAAACCTATGCATAAACATGTAAAATTTGCAGACTCCATACAGAAACGCCCTTTCTGGAGGTGGAATAAAGAGTGCTGACCGTTGCACCACTGTTGCATAGAAGAAGTCAACAGGTGGATTTCCCCAAACTCTCTGGCCTTATTTGACGAACACGTATCACCAGAATGATTGAGAATTGGGAGGACCAATAGACTTGATGATCCACCCGGAAGTAGAAAATCCTCCTATAAGTCTTTAGAAATGGTGAGTCCAGTCTTGAAAATGTGAGGAATATGGGTGGAGTTTGATCTGCTCTGTTGGAATTAAAACCTGCCCTTCAAATGGCCCTTTGAAGACCGTAAACTTTAAAATAATGCTTAAGGCAGACTTGTGCTGTCAGTCACCGTTAAGTTTCATACGACATATTTATTAGTTCCATAGTTATTTTGGCAAAAATAACTTCTGAAATACAAATCTATCAGGAATCCACTCCTGAGCCCCATTTCCACCAGACCAAGTGGTGTGGCAGGTTTGCATGTAAAGTCTATTATGTATAGCTAATAATCGCATGTGTGTTGCGGAACGCGCGTTTGGTACAGAAAGTGCAGTTGCAGCTGATATAAGTTGACATTACATTAATCTCATGTCCAAACTTTTCCCATTAGTGCAGCTCTTCATTCATCATTTCACTTCAGTTAGAGTGAGCTTCTGTTGTGTTTGATAGATAAATAAGTCTGAAAAAATTGAAATATTCCAGACTATAAGCTTTTCCCCCTCACTTTGAACGCTGAGGCATATACTAAGATGCAGCTTATTTCAATATCCCTTAGTTTTTTGGTTTATGGTGAAAGTTTTTGAGCTATAGTTTTCACTATCACAACAGGTACAAGATTATAAATGTCTTTCTAACCATTAGAGCCTGTGGCTTATGATCAGGTTATACGTTTTTAACAGTTTCCTAGAATGGAAATGTCTCTTAGAATGTGTGTTCATTAACCGATCTGCAAATGATAATATGACAGCTGACAGCCCTATCCAGTTAGGCAACCATGGATAATACATACCTCGTGCACGTCGCTGCGTGATGACGTCATTTGTATATGATGTAGACGCGGAAGTGCTATTACTAGAGTGGTGTCTGTTGATGTTCAGTGCGATATCGTGTAGAATCATTATTGTACATGTAATTATTACTATATATTCATCAGTATTGTATATATAGGGACATGTCACGGAAAAAGAAAGAGGAGTATCACCGCTTCTTCACCGTCAGCGACTCCCGCACTCATGAGAAGGGCCACACGGAGTACAAGATCACCGCCAGGGTACACATGTTTTCATTAGATGGTTAACAGTTGGTAGGATTTGTTTTTAATTAGCCTGGAAAATTCAATAAAAATATATCATTCAAGCTAGAGTGAGTACTAGCCAAGAGCGAGGCATCAAGATTATACTCAAGATAACACAAAATTAAATGAAATAAAAATAGCATTTTGGTATTTTTCCTGACTTCCTGAAGGACATGGGCCGCAGGTATGACATAGGTAGAAATAGTTACCATAGCAACGACAGCACGAATAATCTCCATTCTCTATATTTAATAGTTTTGTGAATTTTAGTGAAAAAATGAGACATCTTTGAATGAAAGCGATTAACCGTCAGATAAGTGCTTTTCTTGAGCAAGAATTGCATTATGGTATGGAGGTGGAGGAATTACATTTTAGAACTCAGCATTCATTTATATTTCAGAACTGCTTCTTAAATCAGCCAGCATTTTATATTTTAGCAACTATTTCATTTTTATTGTTGAGAGTTTTGTAAATTGCTTATTCTGTATCCAACAGACTAATGTGTGTAACCCAGAGTATACCACAGTAGCCACAATAGTGCCTTTGTCAGCTTTGGGAATGAGATCACATGAGTGCTGTGATCTTGGCATTAGCTGACTACACCAATGATGGGTCCATAATTATTTTTAAGTCAGAACAGTTCTATGGGAATTCATTTTGAAAACACAATAAATGGAACTATGTAATAAAATATGTTTTTGTCCTACAGTCATTAATAACCAAACATCTGAGAAGCTTTTATAATAATACGTTTTTTGAATCTGAGTAAGATTTGTAGTTGTGTCAGCTTTATGACCCTGCGACTTGCTCTGCAGTTTGTTTCCCAGAGTCATCCGGAAGACGTGAAGGAGGTGGTTGTCTGGAGGAGGTTTTCTGAGCTCAAGAAGCTTCATGGAGAGCTGGCCTACACTCACAGGAACCTGTTCAGACGACAAGAGGAGTTCCCCCCTTTCCCTCGGGCACAAGTCTTTGGTAATGACATTTTCCTCTCTGTGTGTAGCTACACACAACAGCTACACACAGCTCTGTTGTGAACCAATGAGGGATTACGTAAACACTACAGCTGATTGTTAAAGGACCTTATAATATTGCGGGTTACAAAAATAGACTTACAGTTTTTTTAACATATGTTTGAACTTTTTTGTGCAGTGGATGTATGTACAGCCCATTTGATAAGTTAATCCTACTTTGTAACGTTTGTGTCAGATATACAATTGCTCTGCATGGTGAGTTATTACATTATCTTTTTATTATGATAATGTCTTTTTAAATCCAGATATGACCAATATTAATATAACATATATAATCTCAGTAATAACTGACCAATTTTTGGTTCCCGAATTTGGCTTTGGTGCGAACAGACCAGACCTTATTCTGAATGGCTGGTTTCCAGGTCGTAGCGGCCTGAGAATTGTTGAGGAATGGAGCCGGCCGTGGGCTGAGTGTATGAAAGTGGTTTTCTTTGTGAAAGTTTGTACGTTCATCTTTGTGTGCGTTTGCCTCTATAGTTCCTTTATCTTTGTGAAACACATTGGAAACTTATTTTTAGAAGTGTGTTATTTAAATAAAGTGGAATGGAAACTTCTCTCATGAATAACAGGTTTTATTTACTTATTTAAAAAAGGTCAATGTAAAGTTATTTGCATTGCTTGAACTCAGAGTATGTCCTAGTTCTTGTGAGTTTCGTGTACTAATTTTAGCACTTTACTTTAAAATAATGTGATAACCCCCAAACACCAAAAAGTTGGTTTCTTAGTCACATTCTGTATTAGTAATGCAACACGACACGTATGTTTCAGGGAGATTTGAAGAGGCGGTCATAGAGGAGAGACGGAGAGCTGCAGAGGTCATGTTTAGCTTCACCACCACAATACCAGCTCTGTACAACAGCCCACAGCTCAAAGACTTCTTCAGAGTGAGTGGATTATTATTTGTTTATTTTATGTTGATGTTGACACTTTGGACTTTACAGATTTGAGCAGATATGCTACTGTATGCTGCTATGGCATACGGCATAACCCCAGTCTCAGATTCCTCACCAACAGATCAGAGAATGATGAAGAACATGACTGTTATAATTTACTTCTGTGTGGCTTAGATCGACATGTGGCAGAATGTGGTGGAAGTTTTGCTTTTGCTAAAGATCTCTGCACTTTTTATACCTATCCATATATTCTACTTCGATTTATTCACTTACTAAAACATGGATCATCATCAAGATTAAGTTTCAGAGCCAATATGGACATAAATAGTGTTCTTTGAAATGTTTCTCAGTTGCTGCTTGTGGAGCTTTGTAGAGCTGTAGTTAATCTAGCAGTATTTCTGAAAGAATGATATGTATAGCACATGTTCTTGGTGGTTGGGTAAAGGTACAGGTACAAACCATAAACCATTTGTAAAGGGTTTTTTAATTCTTTTTTTTCTTGTATCCAAAAATATTGTGAAGTAAAAGTAAAACTGGAAGTCTATAAGTACAGACCATAGACTGTACAGACCTGTACATAGTAGGAGGAGCAGTCGCCTGATTCCAGCCCTCCATGAGTTACAGAGGCATGGACTGAGTATTGATTCTCCTTTCATTGTTTTGTTGTAACAGTCGTTTTGTCTGTGGGGTGAGCTGAGAAACTGTAAACATCTCAATAACCACTTTATAGTTTCAGCATGAATTAGCACCAGTGGTTTGATTTGAGTCATGAAGACGGGCAGGGCCCAAAAGATTTGTCATGAGCTATTTTTATCCGTCATTTTATTTACGTTTGAATGATTGTCTAAACAAACTTGCTTTAATAGCTATTTGTTTATTGTTTATAAACTTTGACTCACAAGCCTTTATCAAGCTGCAACAGGACAAAAATCCAACAAATCCTGTTTATCCTGGTGTAAATGCAATGTACTGTGCACAACCGGTGTCTGCACAGCTGACTGTGAACCTGAGACAGAAGTTTGTTTCAGATTCTCCTCATGTCTGTGAACTGTGTCACAACTTACAATCTCACGAGACTAACACTCCTTCTGTCTGCAGCCAGCTTTACATTTCTATTTCATTTAAGTACTTTGAAAGTAGCTCCACTACTGAAGGTTTCTTGTTAATACCAAAGTGAAAAATGAGTCTAATGCGTTTATCCCAGTCACAGATACATCCAGAATAATCAGAGATCCCATGTTGGCAGAGTGTGCTGTGAATGTATTCAAACATGTTGTGATGTGTGTGTTGTGCTTGCAGGGTGGTGAGGTGTCGTGTCCTTTAGACCCTGCTGAAGTAGAACCATCTGGAACATTGCCTGCCCCTCTTATCCCCCTGCCAAAACGTCGCCCCTCAGACTGTCAGCCGGCAGATGAAGAAACAGGACGCGAGGCTCCGACTTTACCCCAAGATCTAGGAAACAACCTGAGCTTAGAGCTGGGGGAGCCTGAGGTCGCGGCTGAAGCCCTCTGTGAGATGGGGGGGTCTCCTGGAGGACAAAGTGACCCAGAGCTGGATGACAGAGGTACCACTATTAGGGTAAAGTGCGGCGAGACTCAATTTCCACCAGATGAGACACAAGATTATGATAAAAACAGTTTACAAAACAATGAGCCCAATCATGCAGGTTAAAACCCACATCACTGTTTTACTTTGATTACACTTAGGATAATGTTATTATGTTAATGTTCATAATGGTAGTAATGAAGTCATGATGATGAGTTTATGATAGAATATCATCTAAAATCTAAAAAGACACTACAAATTAGCATTAGGGGTTTCAGTGTAAGAAAATTCCAATCTTTTCTTTCTTATTTTGTAAAGCACTCTTTGAGTTGCATTGTGTATGCTCTGTGCTACACAATTAAAACTACAGTGCCTTGCGAAAGTATTCGGCCCCCTTGAACCTTTCAACATTTCGCCACATTTCAGGCTTCAAACAAAGATATAAAAAATACATTTTTTGTCAAGAATCAACAACAAGTGGGACACAATCGTGAAGTGGAACGAAATTTATTGGATAATTTAAACTTTTTTAACAAATAAAAAACTGAAAAATGGGGCGTGCAATATTATTTGGCCCCCTTGGGCTAATACTTTGTAGTGCCACCTTTTGCTGCAATTACAGCTGCAAGTCGCTTGGGGTATGTCTCTATCAGTTTTGCACATTGAGAGACTGGAATTCTTGCCCATTCTTCCTTGCAAAACAGCTCGAGCTCAGTGAGGTTGGATGGAGAGCGTTTGTGAACAGCAGTCTTCAGCTCTTTCCACAGATTCTCGATTGGATTCAGGTCTGGACTTTGACTTGGCCATTCTAACACCTGGATACGTCTATTTGTGAACCATTCCATTGTAGATTTGGCTTTATGTTTTGGATCATTGTCCTGTTGGAAGATAAATCTCCGTCCCAGTCTCAGGTCTTTTGCAGACTCCAACAGGTTTTCTTCCAGAATGGTCCTGTATTTGGCTCCATCCATCTTCCCATCAATTTTAGCCATCTTCCCTGTCCCTGCTGAAGAAAAGCAGGCCCAAACCATGATGCTGCCACCACCATGTTTGACAGTGGGGATGGTGTGTTCAGGGTGATGAGCTGTGTTGCTTTTACGCCAAACATATTGTTTTGCATTGAGGCCAAAAAGTTCGATTTTGGTTTCATCTGACCAGAGCACCTTCTTCCACATGTTTGGTGTGTCTCCCAGGTGGCTTGTGGCAAACTTTAAACGAGACTTTTTATGGATATCTTTGAGAAATGGCTTTCTTCTTGCCACTCTTCCATAAAGGCCAGATTTGTGCAGTGCACGACTGATTGTTGTCCTATGGACAGACTCTCCCACCTCAGCTGTAGTTATCTGCAGTTCATCCAGAGTGATCATGGGCCTCTTGACTGCATCTCTGATCAGTCTTCTCCTTGTTTGAGAGGAAAGTTTGGAAGGACGGCCGGGTCTTGGTAGATTTGCAGTGGTCTGATACTCCTTCCATTTCAAAATAATTGCTTGGACAGTGCTCCTTGAGATGTTTAAAGCTTGGGAAATCTTTTTGTATCCAAATCCGGCTTTAAACTTCTCCACAACAGTATCTCGGCCCTGCCTGGTGTGTTCCTTTGTCTTCATGGTTCTCTCTGCGCTTTAAACAGAACCCTGAGACTATCAAAGAGCAGGTGCATTTATACGGAGACTTGATTACACACAGGTGCATTCTGAACTTCTGGACTGAGTTTACTGCACTGAAAGTAAAGGGGCCGAATAATATTGCACGCCCCACTTTTCAGTTTTTTATTTGTTAAAAAAGTTTAAATGATCCAATAATTTTCGTTCCACTTCACGATTGTGTCCCACTTGTTGTTGATTCATGACAAAAAAAATTAAATTTTATATCTTTATGTTTGAAGCCTGAAATGTGGCGAAATGTTGAAAGGTTCAAGGGGGCCGAATACTTTCGCAAGGTACTGTAACTTGCCGTGGACTGAGTGTGTGTAACATAGTTTGTCCAGCAGAGGGCGGACTGTGCATTAGTGTGATTTAGTCCTGCATTTTTTCCCCTACTTTACTGGACTTGTGTCATGTTTAAAACTAGCAGATTTTTTATATTGAGTTAAATTTCCAAATATTTTTAGCATCGAACAGCTGCTATTGGTCGGTGTTTGTTTTCTAACAATGTTTGATCTAAGTAATAACTTACCATTCAAACATCCTTTGTTTATTAAAATGTCCCTGGAAACAGGACACCGGCCACTTTTATGTCCACTTGTTTCTGAAACGTTGTCACTAAGAACAGCCTGGGAACCACCTCATCGTGCAGGCGATGGTTCATTCCACAGACATTGTTAGTTATTTCCAGTTCCGTGTTCTACTGATGTTGGTTCTCTGTTCTGTTCCCAGTTCCATCCCCGTTTCGAATGGGGGATTTGCAGGAGTCGCAGGAGGAGCTGAATTCTCTGTTTGATTCAGAGGTAGAAGATCCACCTCCACAGACTGAAGTCACTCCACTGCCAATGTGTGACCACGACCTCGCTGCCTTTGACCCTTTCTATAAACAAGGTGATGCATGGTGTTAAAGTCTACTCTCTGGTCAAGGGTCAAGTAACCCATCCAATGCAAGGGGTACCTGAAAAGATCTTTTATTCATTTTCACTATTCACTATTAATATGAACTTTCACACAGATGTTCACTAAACGTCTTTACAAAACAGTCTTTACAAAACTAATTATCTAGAGAAAACAGCTGCACTATACATTTTATTATAAAACATTGATGAAATTAGTACTAATACTTATTATTTATTTATTTATTTCAAACTGATTAATTCTTACTCCTGGTCCTGTTTTGGTTCAGTCCAAACATGTACTCATTTTGTTAAGTTCAATATATTAAGCCATTTGGTCAAAATACCTACATAATGTAACTAAGAAATACAAAATCAGATGCATGATGAGCTCTTGGTAGAACAGTTTTGTGACCCCGACCAAAGTGACAGTCCTGTGGGAGCTGAACACTTTTTTGAACTTTTCTGTGTCCCTGTTATTTTTCTGTGCCAAAATACATCATATATACAGGAAAATAGTAGAGAACCCTGGATTAAACCCTGCTATTATGTTTTGGCCTGAGTCCTGGATCTACAGCCCGTCCGTTTGTAGGAGCAAATCCCTCCCTCAATGTGGGCCTCCCTGAGGTTTTTCATTTTCACATAAAGTGTATTCTTAGATGGACAGAAAAATTCACTCCTATTCTTACTGTGTGTTTTCATGTTAAAGCTAAGAAAAAAACCTTCAAATTGGTAAGAATTCTGAGATTGCCATAACCTCAGGACGTCTGCAGCCTTGACCAGAGATGGATTAAACGTTCTTTTGTCTCAATCTTGACTAATGGTTGAATTCAAATGGTGCTCCTGTTGTTCCAGGTCACTCTGATCACTGCAGTGACCACTCAGAGCTGTTCTCTCTGCCCTTGGACATCAGCACGAACACAGGGGCTGAATATGTGACCGCTGCCTCTGCTCAGCTGACCACAGCCATGGGACAAGAGAAGGACGGGGACTTTAGTGCCGCCATAGTCTCCTACAGGACAGCAGTCCACACTCTGATCACTGGAGTCCAAGGTAATCATCTCCATTGTGTAATACTTCCATCCATCCATCCATTTTCTACCCTTTAATCCATTTCTGGGTCAGGGGGGTGGCAGTCAGAGATGCCACCCAAGTCTCATAGCACCAGCCCCTCACTGACCCTCTGCAGGTGGTGAGTCCACAGGAGGACGGCTGCTCTTTGAGTGTGAGCATAGCCTTGATCTTTCAGTGGGGGCTTTTTGGCAAAGTGGGGTTAAGTGTCTTGCCCTAGGACACGACAGCAGTCATCAGTGGGAGTTGATGGAGAAGGTGCAGAGGTGGGAATTGAACCCACGACCTTCTGGCCTTAATGCCAATGCTCTACCAACTGAGCTACTGTCGCTCTAAGTGTGTGTGTGTGGTGTGTGTGTGTGTCTATGACAGTATAAAATGTGTGTTTGTGTGTGTGTACTACAGTATAAAGTGTGTGTGTCACGAATAAGTCACCAGTGAAGTTAGACTGAAGTTAACAGCATCATGATGTATTTACAGATGTTTATATATATGTTATATATAAACATATATATTATATATATGTGTTTATATATCAGAACAGATGAGTAGCACGTGTACAGACTCAGCAGTTCTCATTGTGCAGTCTGACAGCAGCAGCTGCTCTCCAAAGCGGACAGAGTGTCCTGCAGGGGGTGACAGTCATGGTCCAGCATATATGTTAGTTTATCCAGGACCCTCCTGTCCCCCACCTGCTGCACTGTGTCCAGGGAACAGCCCAGGACAGAGCTTACTTCCTGATGATCTTGTCCAGCTTCTGTCTGTCGCTCTGTGATGCTGTAGCTCAAGCAGACCACACCGTACAAGAGACTGATCCCACCACATGTTACTGTATGTGTCGTGTCGGGCGCTTTCCTTATTCCGTATTTATTTTGGTAAAGCCCCTCGAGACACTACTGTCACTTCCATTGTATCTTGTCTGTGTTTTCAGGAGATCCAGAGCCACTGCGCCGGGAGGCTGTGATTAGAAGGACGTCCCACTACCTGAAGCACGTGGAGAGCCTGCTGGAAATGCACCCCTCACCCACACACTCGCAGACATAGCACTGCTTACAAGGCAATGGTCACAAGCAAAGAAGTGTCCCCCATGTTTAATGATCGATGCTACTATTTCACCCTCACCACTACTTTCAATATTACGAACAGTTGTGTTGTGCTGGAAAAGAGTGCCTTGAATGGACCCTTTTAGAAGACAAACCCTGGTGTCATGATGCCTCCAGAGACCGATCATTGTATGAGTGGATTTGGGTTTGAATTCCAGGATTGGAGCTGGACCTTTGGGCAGTTTTCACCCCGAGTCAGAGGGCCGTGCATCACATCCTGGTGCGAGGAAGAGATAACTGCAGTTTGTTTAGCCTAATATTGAGTTGAAATTATGAACATTATCCAAATTCCTTAAAGGTGAAAAGAGCTGCAGAGAACACACAGCTTGAATAGTGTTTCTGTTGTGTACGTGTTCATACTGCTTCTATCTGACACTTTGGTTGTTATGCCAACACAGAGAGAGATGCTGCTGCTCAGTCTATACACAATATGTACTCAATTCTATGTTTATATTATAATAATTAATACATTGATGTAAGTAAAACTCAGATAATTATAATATTGTGAATAAAATTTATTTATAATGTTTTTACATATTACTGTAAAACAACTTACAAGGGGACAGTATTTAATGTTTCCATTTTCAATTACATCTGTATTTTTTATGTGTCCGCAGCTAATTGGTCAACATGTACAAATCCTATTTGACCTTTCTGAACAAATATTTGAAGTGGAGTTATTCTCAAATAAAAATACAATTAACATGATGCATATAATATTTACATTACAATTTTCAAGCAGAAAGATTAAATCAGAGAGTAGAATGAGGGTCTCATTTGGGTTGCTACATTTTTTTCACATAGAAAGCTGAAACCAGAAAAGTAAAAAGTTACATCTTAAAGGTCTCTCTTCATTTTTCACAGTCCATCTTAATCATATGTGTGATAATACCATACAACACTCACAACGTACCTAATTGTACCCATTTTTTACATAGAGGTGGTCCCCTCATTTGAAACGAGTGAATCTGTGCTCCTCTGCCTGTGAGCCCGCCTCCCCCTGTAGCCTCACTCTGACTGAAATGACTTAAAGGTAAATAATTTGTTGTGAATGCTAAATGTTAAGTTTTCGCTGGTACATAGTCATTTCAGACCTGAGATTAAACTTTTCTAACAATGGCGATCCGTCACAGAGAAGCCTATGTCCTCGAACCAGAATTGGACAGTTGTGGGTGTTATGTGCTAGCCTGGAAAAATCCAGACTCACCGCTGTACCAGCCGCTGGATAAAAAAATACAGAGGGGAATCATTCTGGTCTCACCAGGCTAGTTATGTGCAGCAATACGAGCAGAGCAGGGAGTAACCAATAACACTGTGGGTATTATACAAACTATACTAAATAGGTATTTCTTAAATGCTTGTTTTCCTACAGATAACATTCATAGCACAGATGCATTTCAGTCTGTAGCTTGTACCAGTATATTCATTGTACACATGTCTGTGCACAGGCCACAAAGCAGTCTCACTACAGAGACTGGAGCTCCTTGTCTCAAGGTCTTCTTTGTGGTGGAGGCTTTGACTTCTTTCCAGACCTTCTCCTTGATAGCCCTAGCGGCAAATGTGATCAGGACCGTACTTTTTATAATTAAAGTGGTCATGTTCGCACTTCTCTCTTTTGCTCACTCAGTGGAAACTGTCCACACGCAGTGGAAAAACGTTATTTGTTTCTGGTGCCACTGACTGCAGATGTCATTGATGTTTGCTTTGAAAGCCTGATCCCAGCAGACAGTTCTGTCATAGTTCTGTCATCGAGACCTCTGGGAACACCAAGTGCCCTGGTGGGAAGTTTGTGTATGTAAAGTTCCTCAGGCAAGACACTAAACAAGAATAATTGATGACTGTCGGAGGGGCTGATGGCACAAACAGGTTTGGTCACTTCCTGTCAGTCTGCCCAAAGTCAGCTGGGGTTACTGTGGTAGTTTACCACCACTGTGGACGGGGTGACTGAATGTCATGTAAAGCATCTGAGCATTGACTTTCTCCGGATCAATCGATGTAGAAAATTGTATCTGAAAATTATTGATAGATTTTTGATATTTAAGATTGAGCATTATGTGCTTTTTAAGACTCATGGTTAAGGACTAGAGGAGCCGGATGAGGCTCCTGGGTGTGGGTGAGCATGGATCATCCCTCTTTTGTTTCTGTTTCTATACCACACCTTAGGACTAAGTAGACACTAAGTAAACACTAAGAGGGCCACATTTCGAATGCAGCAGACTTTTTTTTTTAAATAAATAATTATTTTGGTTTTTTTGATACTCTATATATTTTTGCCTCCTCTTGATTTCATGAGGGTTTGGCTGATAGAGTATTCCTTGTCTTTGTCCATACTTTTGGGAGCACAATGGACATCTTGCTCATTGGGTCGCAGTGAAGTCAGCCATGCCACGACTTTTATGCTTCGTGCATTTTCTGAAGGATGGCGTTCCACTCTCTGTCCTCTAGTTTCCATTAAATGTGCGAAAATTGCTGCACCTGTGAAGCAGAGATGGAGAGACAAAAGCTTTCACTGGGTTTTAGCATATATGCACACTCCATCAGCACACTGCCCACTGCAATTACACCCAGCACTCTGCGGCTGAGAGCGTAACAACCCTCTTTGTGAGCCAGGATCAGCTTCACATGTTTATTTACCATTCAAGTGCAGTTGGCTGGTGCAGTGCTGCTTTATGCTTGTTCTTGAGTGACTGCATATGTGTATATTTACAGTCTATGATATGTGTATACACTATATGCTCTTTTCAATATTCTATTCCATGTTCTTATTCTTCTGCCAGATTTTGGTGCGCTTCAACTCTTTCAACAGTTATGCCTCGTTGGGTTCATTGTGACATTACATTACCTTTGAACGTCACGGTTTGGTGAAGGCAATCGCTGATGTTTGCTATTTCTTTTGATATTTGTATTACTTGTTGTATTTGTACTCAAAGTTGTGCCTTTTCTTTCTTCCTATCCAAATGTTGACTTTTCTGTATTTTTACTTTTCAACAACGTACAACTTTTAAACAGAAAGGTACTGTGTCTACTGCAGGCTCAAACCTTTCAGCAGTCTTGCATTTCAACAGATTACTTCTTATATAATAGGGTAATAAGTTATTTTCTGCAGTAATTTTTTACATTCTCCATAATGGTGTTACTCCTGCATGTGTGGCAGGATGGAATGTTACAGTTCATTTTGAAACCTATTTTAGAAAGAATTCAAAAGAATAGAAATGGGCAGCTTCTCTTCTACAACGTACCCTGCTACAAGTCTATTCATTTCTGTCTTTAAGGTTTGACCTGACAGCTTCATTCAAGTCTAGGTTCTTATACCGTGGGACTGTTGTGCTGTCGGAGGCGGAGGCTTCGCTGAGTTGCTCCATCCTAAAGACATGTGTGATGATAATTTGGGTGAAACTGTTAGGTTTTTGTAGAAATAGGATCCCAAAAAAAGTGTAGACTGAGGTATTTACAGTTTATTATTACAGATTGATACTGGCAGGCAGGCTGTGGAGAAGGAGGCTGGCAGAGGCTGGCAGAGGCGGAAGCAGCAGTTGAGCACCTGGGAAAAATGAGGAGACGAAAGTTAAAAAAATACAGAAACATTTGAGTAATCCAAAAATTAGCGCAGAGGCAAAAGCACTACCAAACAAGACGGAATTATCTGGCGACGAACTGCAGTCAATGCTGGGTGGTAGGTGATCACACTGAGATGAGCTGCAGGTATTCTCAGCTGCCACGGAACCAGCCACGCCCCCGTCACCAACAGCTCTGCCTGCAACACAAACACAGGGAGCAGAACACAAATCCAAATCCTCACAGAAACACCACACAACACTAAAAACTTGTGTAATTATAGCCATTTCTTGCGTAGAGGTGCTGTCACCTGAGTTCAAACAGCTGGATCTTTGCTAAAGTCTATCGACCATACTCTGGACTCAGAGAGAGGCTGCATGTGCTGATCATCATGATTCAGTGTTTCAGTTTCTCCCCCTGTCAATCACCTCCTGGAGGCGGGCTTCTCACATCACAAATTTGATCGAGTTGTTTTACTTCCTCTTGAGAATGAAAGAAAAGGGTCGTTCTCTATCTAAAGCTTGAGGGAATCAATGAAGAAACTTGGGCATGTGTATGAAGGCTGAATAGCACTGTAATGATAGCATTGAAAAGTTGAAAAGCGTAACATGGGACCTTTAATAGTTGATGAGTTTCTGCGGTGGACAATCGCTGGCTATGCTCCACGACAACGGTTTTTTCTTCTTGACTGATATCGTTGAAATAGTGTCATATCTTTACCGGTAAAATCTTTATAAACAAATCTCTGTATGCGTGCACGCAGGCACACATACAGCGGCAGTGCAGTCTCCCCAGATCTCCTGAGGCTGGTGGGGCCGGAAATAAAGTATTTAGGTAGTATCTCTAATAAAGTTACACGTATTTCCATAATAATGCGCTACGGCTACCTTACACAAATTGTAATTTTGTTGCCCTTAGAAAGGACAAGCACAAAATTCAAATACAATGACATTTAGAGAGCACTATAAAACACCCAATTATGCTGTTTATAAGCTAAAAGTTGATTTGGTGTTTAATTGCTATTTTCAACAACTCCGCTCATGACCAGGTGTACACAAGCAGCACTCAAGGGACGGTGGGGGAGGGAGAAATTCAATCCACTCATGTGTTAGTTTTTGAGCTTTTCCCTGTCCGGCTTTTACTGAACCTGTTTCCATAACAACAGCAACCATCACACATAAGTGTGGCATAAATGTCACACAAAGAATGGGTAGAGAGAGAACGAGTGGATTTTTATATAGTTCCTTCGCCTCTATAATAAAAACACAATTTACAGTGCGAAGGCACTTTCTGTCATGTTTACAGCCATAAACATTTTATTTAGATGTTTTTACTGAACGTTCACACACAAGTAACAGACGAAAATTATATGATTCTGCTATTTTA